CATGGCATGTAGGATCCTAGGTCCTTGACCAGGGATTGAACCCACATCCCCTGCATTGGAAGGTGGATTCTTAACCACTGGACCCGCAGGGAAATGCCCTAGATGGAGCAGCTTTAGCCAAAACTATGGATGGGGTGAGCCTTGGACAAAGCGAAAGCAGGCAGGGGTGGGAAAGGCCAGGTGATTGCAAGGGGAGCTTGGGGAGGAGGGATGTGAGATGAAGTCCTGAGGGGCACCCTTGACTTTTTCCCACTTTGGAGGGAGACAGGTAGCCTGGGAAGTGACTGGAGAGTCTCTGGGGTCAAAACCAATGGCATCTCATTGTGTGTGAGTGGGGACTTCTGGTCTTATCATCCTGAGCACCAAGGGTGATTGGCTGAGGATGCAGAGGGCAGAGGGGCACAGGCTGGGGACAGAGAGGAGAGGAGAATGGAGCTGGTCACACGGGGTCATTTCTTTCCTAATGGGACGTGAGAGGCTGAAAGTCAGGCTGAGAGAGCCCAGCAGGAAAAAGGAATGGGGGAGACAGACCAGCTGGGCCAAAGCAGGTACAACCGATGAAGGCGGGGTTGTCTCTTGTGGCTCAGGAGCACTTGAGTCAGGAAGAGGCCTGAAGGCACTCTTGTTCCTCAGTCTGGAAGGGCACTTGGCAAGTTCACAGATTATCCATCCTCTGTGCTTCAGTTCTGAACACTGGTCACCTGTTTGGTTGATAGCATCTGACCTGACCAGGGGGCAGTGTCTTCATTACAACCACAGGTTTTGTCTTGATGCTTACTTCGTCTCTGATTGTTCATCTGAACCTCAAGGAGGTCAACTAACACGTGGGGGATGGAGATTTTTGCATAATGGCCTGGTGGGTGGGATTCTCAGGCCTGGGGTGCCAGAAAGGATGGTTTCTTAAAGGAGAACTGATCATGCCCATGGACCCTGGAACAGACTGGAACCTGCAACACCTATAATTCTCCTGAGGTCCAAGAAGAAACCATCTCTAGCAGATGCCTTGGCATCTACAGGGCATGTGTTACATGTGTTAGCATTTACTAGCACTGTTTAAGGAAACCAGTTGAGGTATTTTCCAAGTTCAATGTCACAGCACTTTTATTCAAAGGAAAAATGATCCCAGACTGCAACATAGAAAACAAATATTGGGTTGGCCAAAAAGGTAATTTGGGTTTTTCCATAACATCTTACAGTAAAACTTGAATGAACTTTTTGGCCAAGCCAGTAAAAGGGAAACTGGGTGGCATGTCTCTCAACTGTCTTCCTAGGCCCTTAAGGGGGTCCCTGAGGCTGTGAGGCCTTTTTGAGAGCAACCCTGGGCAGACCAGAGCCCAGTGTGGCCTGAGGCTCCTGTGTGGTTGACTGCCTTTCCTGACCATTAATCGCTACTAAGTGTCATTACTGCTAATAAAATTAACCGACTTTATACTGGACTCCTGGGGCCATCAATCACAGGGTCAATTACACGAAATTAAAAAAAACAAGGAACTGTTGATGGGGGAAAAGGTGTTTGTTGAGCCGAGCTCACAAGGACAGCCCAGGGAGTGTGGTACTCCACAGCTGTCAGGAGGTGGTGATCAGGGACGACACCCTTAATTAGGCAAATTGACTCCCACCCTTGATGTTGTTCTCCAGACAGGAATGTCTCAAGCAAGAACAGAAATTACCACAGGAAGACTCTGGGGCCAGGGACTGAAAAGCTCCCAAAATTCTCCCTCCCATTCTCACTTCTGCTTCTCTCTCTGTGTTTGATTCACTTTTTCTCTCTTTGGATCAGCTTTCTCTTTTTATCTCCTGAGTTACAAGCCCAGTCACCCAAAGAAAGAGAGAAAAAGCAACTGTGTGCTCTAAGTCAAATTCCAAATTTCCGGAGAAAGAATGGATTGGCCCAGCTTGGGTCATGTGATCCTCAGTGGTCCAATCAACAGGCCAGAGCAGCAAGGTCACATGGTATAAAATGGCTGACAGGGTAACCATGGAGGTAGAAAGACCAGGTAGGCAGTCAACCCAACAGGTGTCTGCAAGAGTAATTTAAGGGGCTTAGTAATAAGCACTCAAAATATGGTAGATAAGGGAATTCGCTGGTGGTCCAGGGATAAGGACTCAGCATTTTCACTGCCAGGACCAGCTTCAATCCCTGACTGGGAACTAAAATCCCACAAGCCATGCAGCACAGCCGAAAAAAAACCAAAACTATGGTAGATAATATTGTGTAGTAGAATATGTTATATATTATATAATATAGGTCTAATGATATAAAAATAATAGCCATTGTTCTGCAAATGTCATTTGAGACAAGTCTTGAAGGATGTGCAGCCCTGTTAGCCAAAGATTCCCAGCGTTCCCTGCTTGTCCTCTCACCTGTCAATCACTACTACAAGGGAGGTCCCAATTTCTGAAACACAAGAACTGCCTGAGCAGAAATTGTCCTTCACACCCACCGCTGGTGTGGGAAGGAAGACATTTGGGGGCTAGATGGCTGCTGTGCCGTTTGCTCCTGCAGCCCCCAAGCTGCCCTCCACACCGGAGGCCGTTCAGGGTGGGGCCCCCTGGGCTGGAGTTGACATCAAGTTCTGCTCTGGACCTGCCAAGGATAGAGCTCTAAGGAGGGTTTCCTGCCAGATTGCAGGGAGGGGTTTGGGTGTAGACCTGGTGGACTGGAAATTTACCCATTTGCCCCCAGATTAATGATTAACGGGTCCCTGCTCTCACCCTGTCTGGGAGGGGAGCCCAGGGCCAGGCTGGGCCGGGAGGAGCCTGATAGCATCTGTCTCTGCTCAGGGGTTTCGGAGATATGCTCCACACTGGGTTGGCTGCACCTGATGGATTTGGAATCTACGGGTACTCTCTGGGGGCACTTGGGGCCTGTCCAGGACCCACACCCTCCCTGGGGCAGACAGGCAGGGTGTGGCATTCAGCCAGATGTCCTGGCTGGGGCAGGTGGCTCCAAACAGGAGAGCCATGCTCTTGGCTCTGTGGGATGTGGGCTTCTCTGACCACTCAAGGCTTGGCCACAGGGCTTGCCTTGGCTGGTGGTGCTTGAGCACGAGTGACAAGTGTCACATCCAAGCAGGAGCTTAAGAGCCAGCGCCTGCTTCCACCCTTGATCTTTTTCTGTGGTTATGAGCCCAGCATATTCCAGAAAGGGGCTGCACTCTGGTTGCCAGATTGATGTATATGTTCCACCCACACCAAGGGCCACCAGGGTCCAGGAAACAGCAGATAACTTGAACTGGGAGAAACCTCATGGATCGCTTCTGGGGGGAGGGAAGGTGATCTCTATTAGTAGTCCTCACCTTGCTGCTGATCTGCTGTAAAACGAGGGCTAGTCATCACCTCTTTGTAAAACCTAAAACTTTTGTTTCCTTATCTGGACAATGGGAAGATTCTGGCCAGGTTAGAGAGTAAAGCATCTTGCAAGAGGAAAGAGTTGAGAAACTCCAGCCAGGGGGAAGTGAAACAGCAAGTCCCAGACTCTGTGGTTAGTAACTTTTCATACAATCCTCCCAGCAGCGCAGGAGGTGGAGAGGATCACTCTTTCTACTTCCCAGAGGAGAAAAATCAATGCTTCTGATGACACAGCTAGGAAATGACAGTCAAGCCACTAGAACGTGGCAGCCTGACTCAAGCATCCCTGGACTTCAGATACAGTAGAATAAGAAGTCAGGGGCTGATAGCCTGATGGAAATGCAGCTTCTTCATCTGCATCCACCTGTCAATCCATCCACCCATCCTTCTTCCTTCATCTCTCCATCTTCCCAATCTTCCATCCATTTGGGTATTCTCCAAGTATCTCTTGGTAGCAGACATGGAGTGGCCAGATGATTAAAGATTTATGGGGATTATGGAGACAAGTTAGGTTGGCATGGTGTTACTTGGGCAGCTACCTAATGTAAGGGGGAGAGGGATGCCAGGGCCATTGGCCAGACACCTTCTCAGTGTCATCCCTCTGCCACCCCCTCTTAGCAACATGGCTCTCCCTTCCTGGAAGCAGCTAATAACTACACGCACTATTTTCCAAACTGCCCTGATTCTCAATGCTGCCCAGGGAATGCGGTAAATGTACAGATTCCCAGGTCCTATTCCAGACCAAGAGAAGCAGAACTGTTAAGTATAGATCCTAGGCATCTGTGGTTTTATTTTTTTTTTTTTTTGAGTTTAAAAGAAAAAAAAATTTTTTTAATTAAAAATTTTTATTTTTTGGCCACATTATGTGGCATATGGGATCATAGTTTCCTAACCAGGGATTGAACCCATACCCCCTGTGTTGGAAGCATGGACTCTTAGCCAATCACCAGAGAAGTCCGGGGCATCTGGTTTTTTTTTTTTTAATTTTTTTTTCCATTTATTTTTATTAGTTGGAGGCTAATTACTTTACATCATTGCAGTGGTTTTTGTCATACATTGAAATGAATTAGCCATGGATTTACATGTATTCCCCAACCCGGTCCCCCCTCCCACCTCCCTCTCCACCCGATCCCTCTGGGTCTTCCCAGTGCACCAGGCCCGAGCACTTGTCTCATGCACCCAACCTGGGCTGGTGATCTGTTTCACCCTAGATAATATACGTGTTTCGATGCTGTTCTCTTGAAACATCCCACCCTCGCCTTCTCCCAGAGTCCACAAGTCTGTTCTATACATCTGAGTCTCTTTTTCTGTTTTGCATATAGGGTTATCGTTACCAACATCTGTATTTTAAATAAGCATGCCATATGATTTTTCTGATTCAGCAAGTTTGGTAAACAAGGTGGATAAGAACAGCAGAGACTTTGGCTTCCAGAAAACTTGAGTTTGAGATCTTGCACTCACCCTTGTTATAAGCACCTTGGTTTCTTACTCTGTAAAATGGGGTCAGCCTCCCTCCCAGAAGGCCAAATAATGCAGCCCCCAAGAAGGGCCCCTTCCCCTCACCTGCCCCCCATCCTTAGGGTTGTCATCTTTCACCCTCCATCACAGCCCCCAGGGGTCACTGGTCTCCCTTCTCTTGCCCCCTTTAGCCTGACCGGGCGGGAGGTCCTGACGCCCTTCCCCGGGCTGGGTACTGCTGCCCCGGCACAGGGTGGGGCCCACCTGAAGCAGTGCGACCTCCTGAAGTTGTCCCGCCGGCAGAAGCAGCTCTGCCGGCGGGAGCCAGGCCTGGCTGAGACCCTGCAGGACGCCGCACACCTCAGCCTGCTCGAGTGCCAGTTTCAGTTCCGGCATGAGCGCTGGAACTGCAGCCTGGAGGGGAGGACGGTGCTGCTCAAGAGAGGTAGGGAGGAGGGCTGGGGAGGAGGGTGAGGAGAAGGAGACCAGTGAGGAGAACTGGGAGGAGGAGGCTTGGAGGAGGAGGGTGGGGGGAGTATTAAGAGGAGGAGGGCTGCCTTTCCCACTCCCCAGGCCACTGTCCCCAGTCCACGTTGCTCTTATGAACCCGGCTCAGAAACAGGTTAGTCCAGCTAGCTCATGCATCACTTTGGAGTCAAGATCAGTGGTTTAGCCCAACTTTGGCACTCACCAGGTACCTAAGCCACTTTTCTCTGCATCTGTGTTCTCATCTGTTCAGTAGAGGATGCAGCCCCCATCTTGCCGCCCTGAGAACCTGGGTACACACCCCACAGGGAACAGGGCGCTCCATTTAGACAGCAACTTGCAGCCTGAGTTTAAGGGGCGGGAGACAGGGCGACTGCCCTGAACTGTGTCCTCGGGGTCACACGCCCCTTGTCCTGTTCATCACAGCAGCCCCTCCCTCCAGCCCATCTATCCTCAGAGGGCAGCTCACAGCCCCTGAGCCCACTCTCCTCCTCCCTCCTGATCCCACCCCCCGGCCCAGGTTTCAAGGAGACGGCCTTCCTATATGCAGTGTCTGCGGCCGCCCTCACGCACACTCTGGCCCGGGCCTGCAGCGCTGGCCGCATGGAGCGGTGCACCTGTGATGACTCCCCGGGCCTCGAGAGCCGGCAGGCCTGGCAGTGGGGCGTGTGTGGCGACAACCTCAAGTACAGCACCAAGTTCCTGAACAATTTCCTGGGGCCCAAGAGAGGAAGCAAAGACCTGCGGGCGCGGGTAGACGCCCACAACACCCACGTGGGCATCAAGGTGAGTGCATTGCTGGGTGCAGAGCCGGGGAGCCGGGTCTCTAGGAGGCCAGTACCCACCCTGCCCCCCCAGGACACACACAGAGGTGGTCCAGGATGAACCTCATCCTTTCAACCGGTGTTCCTTGGGCATCTACTCTGGACCATTGTCAGGTACCAGGCAGTGGGGAAGAGTCCTGGGCATCATAGGTTGATGGGCAGCAGGTGGGAGCCTGGCTTGGTGAGGCAGGATCATGTTTGGAGAAGGGTCTCCATTCCAAGCACTGGCCTTCCTGGAGGCCCTAGGAGCCTATGCTGTTTGAAAAGTGATCTGGTACAACCCCTGGCCCTCCTCCATTTTACAGATGGAAAGACAAAAAAGGCCCAGAGAGGGGAAGGGACTTAGCTGAGGTCACACAGCAGTGGAAAGACTGGAGGGCAAAAACTATCCTGGTCTGTTGGGCCCAGAAAGCTGGGAGAAGCTCGGGCTCCATTTCTTTAAGAGACTGTTTGAGTTCTGTGTCCTGTGTTCTTATCACTGAGTTGGTGTAAACCAGGGCTGCTGTGTTCAGTTGTGCTGTCTGCTCCACAGGAACTTCAGGCCAGGGGAGGTGCTGGGGGTGAGATCCAGCCCCCGCTGCTCTCACCAAGGCGTGAGGCCCGTCTCTGCCCAGGAGAAGGGGCGCTTAGAGCTAGTTTGCACTAATGTGCCACATGAACCAGCTTGAGTTTTAGCTGCCCACTTCATATGGACCTCCCCTGTCTTTCTCCCATCCTCCTGTGGCTCCCCGGCCACAGTTGGTGCTCTGGGGGCTGCAGCCTGGGGGCCCCTGACCACGCCTCCCTCCTGCCTCTCCTCACAGGCCGTGAAGAGTGGCCTCCGGACCACGTGTAAGTGCCACGGCGTGTCAGGCTCCTGCGCTGTGCGCACCTGCTGGAAGCAGCTGTCCCCGTTCCGCGAGACTGGCCAGGTGCTGAAGCTGCGCTACGACTCGGCCGTCAAGGTGTCCAGTGCCACCAACGAGGCCTTGGGCCGCCTGGAGCTGTGGGCACAGGCCAGACCAGGCAGCCCCACCAAGGGCCCGGCGCCGCGGCCTGGGGACCTGGTCTACATGGAGGACTCCCCCAGTTTCTGCCGGCCCAGCAAGTACTCGCCTGGCACAGGAGGCAGGCTGTGCTCCCGCGAGGCCAGCTGCAGCAGCCTGTGCTGCGGGCGGGGCTACGACACCCAGAGCCGCCTGGCGGCCTTCTCCTGCCATTGCCAGGTGCAGTGGTGCTGCTACGTGGAGTGCCAGCAGTGTGTGCGGGAGGAGCTAGTGTACACCTGTAAGCACTAGGCCCGCTGCCCAGGGTGCCAGCCAGGCGCTGCCAGGACCTGCCAGGGCACCGGGCCACCTCCAGGCCACCCAGCCGTCCAGCTGCTCCCCCCTGCAACCCCGCTCCCGCCAGCCCGGGCCGGAGCACATGGCATGTGATCACCCATGTGCGTGCCAGCACATTCATGCGCCTCTCCCCGTTGGCTCCCATCAGTCTTCCCCTCTCTCAGCTCTCAGCAAGAAGAGCCCTATCCCTGAACCTGAGGATCCCCAGCCTGGCTGAGGACTTGGAGCAGGAGGGCAGAGTGGAAAGGATGTGGAGGGAATGAAAGGAGACCCAAAGGAGGGCAGGACTGAGGTTTTAGAGAGGGGAGAGTGTACATCTCGCCATCACGAATCCTGGGATTAGTGGCCTAAAGACAGCCAGAGGTTGGGAGGTGAACTTCTGGGCCAAGAAGGCCCAGGGAGGCAGGGTCAGCTGGAAGCTAAGGCTGGAGTCTGGCTGGGATGGGTCAGGCCAGTCCTCAGGCCCCACCCAGGTGATACTCAACCCCGGGAGTCATGCACCTTCATTTCCCCACCCTGGAGCTTTGCTGTGCTAGAAATGGGAGGAAAGGCCAGGTGGTCGGAGCCGTTGGTCTGGAGAAAGGAAAGCAGGAGTCAGATATGTGCCCTTGATCCTTGTGATTTGGTTTTTAAAATATGCCTCCACCAGCCCTCATTCTCACCTTGAGAGCTGAGTAATCCACGCCCAACCAGAGCTGCTCAGTAAAAACACCAGTGGACGCGAGCCCAGTAGAAGAGCCAGTCCCCAGGGTGAGGCTCAGATAGTACACCGAGGTCACCCAGGGGGACAGAGACCCCTCAGTGTCTCAGACCCCCACCAGGAGCCCACTTGGGTCAGCTCCCTGTGGCCGGGGTCACCGTGTGCGGTGAGGCCCTGCACAGCCAGCATTCATGATATACGAGAGTTGGTGTATGAGTTTTGATTCAGTTACATTTCTACGTCTACAGCTACTCACCTAATTAAGGTTTTTGCTTGGGCAGGAGTTATAAATATGGGAAGTGTTTGCTAAGCTTGGCTCTTTGGGGGCCCCTTTTATTTACTAAGGGCCCCCCACCTTGGCTCTTTGCTGAGGAAGAGAAGTGGCTGCTAATTCCTTCTGATACTGTGGACATTTCCAGGGCTACCTACTAAGGCCCTGGGAGGGACGCAAAAGGAGCTGGTACTACCCACGGGTACACACAGGCCTCCCCGCTCCAACACGCAGGCACACCCCTGGGACCTGCCAGGCTGAGGGCTCTCATTCAGTGGCACACGCCTCTCTGGATCAGGATGCAGACTTTGCAGGGGTCACTTCGCTGGAAGCCGTGTGCTCTCCCAGAGTAGGGCCCGATGCCAGCCGGGAGGAAGTGACCTCCTTCGGGACGCCCTTGGCTGCTCTGTTGGCCCTGCCGCGCCCTCTGTCAGCTTCCTCTCTCCCTGAACCCAGAGTTGCTGACCCTTTGCCGGGACAGGAAACTTCAGAATCAGCTAAGTGCTGAGAAACCGTCTGTGCAAGCCCCAGGAAGCAGCCCCCGGGGGCTCCCTGGGATCTCCGAGGGCAAGGAGACCCTGCCCCTGTCTTCGGTGGATCACGCAGCCTCCTGACGGATGCTGGAAGGATCTTCGGCTGCAGAGGCTCTGATGAGAAGCCCTACTGACCTGAGACCTCTCCCGAGAGTGACTTTGCGGACCCGAGCAGCGGCCCACATCTTAGCAGGAAGAGAAGAAGGAAAAAGGGCTGTCTCCCCAGTTCCCTCCACACCCCCATCGCATGAAGACTTTCTCTCTGCCTGCCCGATCCATCCTTCTCCTCTGAGACCCCAGCTCTGCCACTACCATGGCTCAGCCCAAGGCATGAGGCAGCAGGAAGAGGGGACCTGATCCTCTGACGTGCCATTCGCATCCCAGGTCCACGGCCAGCAGTACAGGGGTGGCAGGAAGATAAAAGGTAGACTCTGAGGGACTGAGGCCACCACCGGCCAGGAGCACTGACCAGGCCCAGGAGGCGGTTCAGGGCCCTTCAGCCTCTCAGGTCCTCGCTGTCCAGCCATCTCCCCTCTCCCCCTTCCCTGCTCCCACCCCATCTCTTCTAATTGCCCTCAGAGGTCCATCTCAGCCCGACTGGGGCCCCTGGGACCAGTGACCACTGACCCCTCATTCTATAGCATTAAGGGAAACAGTCACAGGGTATTTTGTGTCTACCTCGCATATATATATATATATATATATATATATATATAGTTTTTAGGGCAAAAGAAAATAATTTATATAGCTAAGATATATGAGAGAATATTTATGTTATTTATATAGTTTCTATATTTTATGGGCAGCATCTGTGGGGGTTGTGTATTCTGCTGGAAGCCTGTGTATATCTGGGGAAATACAGCTGGCCTGATTGGGGTCCCCACTGAACTGGACACCAGTGGCCAGGGAAGAGGTCTGGCGGACTCCATGTCCCTTGGCTGGCTCTGTCCCGGAGCTGGTGAGCAGCTTCTTTTCTGAGCGTGAACTCCGACGGGCTTCATCCGGCTCCTCCTTGTGAAGTCGTTGTAAATTCTCAGCTCTTCCGGGTCCCAGGCCCCTTCTTCTGCTCTGGAAAAACTGTCCTGCTCATGATAATAATGATAACAAGGATGACCACACTTGGCATTTGTAAAGCACTTTTGATCTTCGGAACCACTTTGGTCCCTCTAGTCTCCCTCGATTCCCCTTTATCCGTGTGAGATAGTTGCGGCCACATCATGACCCATTTTATAGATGCCGCCCAAAGATGGAGGGCTGTGCTCAAAGTCACATTGAAGAGGTCCTTTCACTGAACATTTTCTGAGCATCGACATGGGCCAGGTGATGGCAGCTGATCTATCTTGGACCTGGGAGCCCCAAAGTCTGGATACACCCGGAGCCCAAGAACCCAGGGAAGTGGCTGCTCCCCCAGGCTGTGTCTGACCCTGCCTCTTGATCTGGACAGCATGTCAGCATTTTCTGTGTCTCAGGGGTTGGGACTGCCTGAGGGGCCTAGAGAATTGAGGACCCCGTGGAGGCTACTCCAGGGGCTCCACCACTGGGTCATCCCTCCCTTTGCCCACACCACCTGAGAGGGTTTGGCTGTATTTGGGGGCCCCTCCCAGCCCAAAGATGGGTTTTATTTGCTCTCATTTGTGTTTTTCTTTTCTTTTTTTTTGGCCACACTGCACAACCTGTGGGATCTTAGTTTCCCCCATCAGGGATCGAACTCTTGCCCCCTGCATTGGAAGCACAGAGTCTTAACCACTGGACCGCCAGGGAAGTCCTTTTGTTTTTTTCCTTTAAAAATGATTTGTTTTCCTTTGGATTTCTGGTTTCTTTTGTAAAATCAGCTTCACTGGCCTGCTGGTCCTTCGTTCCCACCCTGGCCATGGTCAACTGGAGAGAGGGAGCCCTATTAGACAGGATACATGGGGGCTCCCTATTTGCCAAATACACCTCAGCACACACACCTCACTCATGCATGTTGCTGGTTCTTGTGGGCACATCATGTCTGTCCCTGGTTCGGATAAACCCAGCTTCTCTCGTGTCCTCTGCTGGTCAACACACAGACAGACAGACCAGCCCTGAAGATTACTTCTTGCTTCCCCGAATTTCCTTTCTCAACAATCATGAACTTTGAATGCTTTATGTCTCAGCACATTTGAGAACCACAGTGGGAGCTATCATGTGTCAACCATCCGTTCTGTTCATCCAGGCAGTCAATGGTGGTTTAGGGAGCTCCCATTGAGCATCAGGCACCAGCCGGGGTGCTGGAGTGTAGCAGGGAAGGAGACGAAGTCCCTGCCTTGTGAGGCTGCCCCTCTAATGGGAGAGAGAGACAATAAATCAATAAACCATATGTCAGCTCTTGGTACCTATTTTGTCTCACTTTGTAGCAATGACCACCCCCATCTCATGGTCAAGGTAACAGAGGCTGTGAGGGGTGAAGGCTCCGAATGACAAGCAATGGTGTCAGGATTAGAACACAGAGTGCATGAACGCCAAAGGATGAGTTCTTTTTTAAAAAAACTTTGACTTTGTATTGAGGCATAGCCGATTAACAATGTTGTGATAGTTTCAGGTAAACAGCAAAAGGATTCAGACACACATATGTGTGCAAAGTATGACTTCTTGCCTCTGCACTGTTGCCTGCCCTCGGAAGGAGGGAGCACAGAGGTGGATCATCCCATTTTATAGATCCTGGGTCAGCTGAGGCCCAGAGGAAGGAGGTGACCCACCAAAGGTTATACACCAAGTAGGACCAGGCCAGAGCCCAGGTGCCCTCCTGGAGATGACAAGTGTTTCTAGTGCCCACAGCCTGTGGCCAGCCATGCAGGGTGACCCCCTGGGGCACCCCAGGGGGGCAAGTTAAAGCAGAGCAGGAGCCTTCAGGGACTTGTGGTCCCCTAGGAGGCATGAGACACACAGCCGTGCAATGGTTTCAGTCACTTACACGTCAGCCTCGAGTCCCTCCCTGGCCACTGCCTTCCCAGCATGCTTTGGGATGTGCAAATGCATGTATTCCACCAGCTGCTCCTGGAGGTCTGATGGGAGAGGAGGCCCCTTTCAGAACAAAGGGTGGCAGAGAAGGCTTGGCCCTGCCTGCCCTGGCTCTTCAGCCTTCTGGGATCCACACGGGGTCCCCAGGGAGGGAGGCAGGGTGAAGTCCACCCCTCTGCCTGTCTTAATGTGTTCCTGCTTCCTTGTGTTCTTGGGCCCAGAGTAGTGACAGACGTGTTCACACCCACAGCATCAGGCGCCAGCCTGCTGAAGGATTTCTCATCTGTTTCCTCACTTGAGCCTCATGAGGGAGGCACCTTTCTTCCCTTTTTACAGAGAGGGAACCTGAGGCACAAAATGGTTAAGTGACTCACTGCAGACCCAGGTCTTATCCTCTAAACCCTGTCTTCTTTCTACCCTATACTGCCTTCAGCCTCTTCCCACTCATATCTGAGCCTTTCACTTCTCCAGTCCCCAAACCAGCTCCCAAAGAGGCCCTTGGGCCCCTCCACCCTTAGCTGCTCAGGGCCACTACTTTCCCTGGGGATCAGGACTTGCAGAGTCAATCACCAGGTGGGTACTTCATCTGTGCCAGATCCCCTTTTAAAAGCATTTAGCCATATTTTCTCTCTCTCTAGTTAGATACATGTATAAGTAAATATATAAATATATGTATATTTATTTTGTTGATCCACATGTGAGGACACTGTAGACACCAAGGCATTTAAATACTTTATCACACATTCTCCAAAAGAACCACAAGGCCATAATCACATCAGAGAGATTTAACATTGACACAATATTGTCTAATAGACACTCCCCATTCAAATTTCTCCAGTTGGCCCTCAAAATATCCTTCATAGCTTTTTTCCCCTGAGCCAAGATCCACTCAAGAATTGGGCACTGAATTTTGTTGTCATGTCTCTCTAGCCCCCTCTCTTCCAGAATAGTCTCCTTGCCTTCTTTGCTTTCACAATATTGATATTTTGAAGAGTTCAGACTGGGTGTCTTGAAGACTGCCTCTCAACTGAGATCTGTCTGATTGTTTCCTTATAACTAGATTCTGGTTAAATGTTTTGGCAAGAGGTCAGCTTAGTGGTGTGCAGCCTTCTCTGTGAGTGCTGTCAGCACTACCTGAGATGCTCAATTTCATCACTTGGTTAAGATGGTTTCCTCCAGCTCTCTCCCATATAAAGTTACCTTTTCCCTTTGTGGTTCATGAGTCATCTGTGGGAGCTGATACTTGAAGATTCTGAGAACATCTTGTTTCCCAGCAACATTTTACCCAATAGTTCAGCATTCATTGGTGATGATCCTTGCCCACATCAATTGCAAGTGGAGATTTTTTAAAATTCCATCATCCCTTATGTATTTTTTAGTTGGCATTCTTCATAAAGCAGAGCTTCTCCACTCTGCATGGTAGGAAGTGCTACCTCCATTTTACAGATGAGGAAACTGAGGTTGGGGAGCTCAAAACAGTCACTGGGTGAGTGGCAGAGCTGGGGTTCAAATTCAGGCCTTTGACATGCCTGAGCGCATACCCATTGCCTTCTATAATCTTTTCCGGTCCTGAGTTTTTTCTCTGAGGACTTATCTTTGAGCACATGGTGAGAAGCCATGCCTTCTCCTGGTGGAATTCCTGTAGCAAGTGGGGAAGATGTTTACAGCAGTGCTGGTGGGGAGTCAGGGAAGATTTTCTCTCATGAAATCATGAGATAGCCTTGCTCCAGCTTCCCCAACCTGCTTACCACTTTAGAGGCTCTGGAGTGCCTCAGCCTCCCTCTTTGCTGCCCCTGAGAGCGTCTCACCCCTGCCAACCCCATTCCATCCTTGCTTGGTCCCCAGAGCTGTGGAACATGACTGTGGTGACCCCACGTCCAGGAGGTGACCCCCTCAGATGGGCCCAAGGTCGATGACTCTGCCCCCTGACTCCTAAAGACAGGTGGAATGATCCCCTAGGTCCGATTTCCATTGGGGAAATAGGGTCACTATCTGGCCAGCAAGCATATCACGCCTACGCCTTGCTCTAGAAAGGTCAGAGGGATGACCTATGATCAGAGTGGGGACATTCTGGAGGGAGAGTGGCAGCGGGGTCCCCTGCCTCCCTGGACCCTTCCCTTTCATCTCCCGCTCTTTACTTACACACCTCACACCTGGTCCCTTCATGGAATCGCTTGCTCAGCAAACACTGGCTGCCTACAGTGTATCAGGCATGTGCTGAGGCGCTGTGGTGCCAAGACTCACTCCCAGCCTTCAGGGAGCTGCAGATAAGGAGACAGACAAGGAAAAAGATCCCTGGGGATTAAGCACTGTGAGAGGTGCCTGACTGCACCGAAACTCTAATGTCATCTCTGCAGATTATCTCATTTAACTGATATGGCAACCCTAGGGCTGCATACAACAGTGATCTCATTTTATTTTTATGTATTGGATTGTGTTGGGTCTTAGTTGCGGCATGTGGGGTGTTGGTTGCATCGTGCAGGACCTTTTATTGCAGCCCACAGACTCTCTAGTTGTGTTGCATGGCCTCACTAGTTCTGCCATGCAGGCTTGGTTGCTGCAAGGCAGGTGGGATCTTAGTTCTCTGACCAGGCCTCGAACCTGAGTCCCCTGTATTGGAAGGCATATTCTTAACCACTGGACCACCAGGGAAATCCCCATGAGCTCATTTTATAGAGAGGAAACCAAAGCTCAGAGAGACTCCCCATCATGCTCAAAGCCTTACAGTAAATAGCAGGGCTGGAAATGAAACAGCTTCATCATGTATATTCTCCCACAGTGTAAGGCGTGACTTGTGCAAAGGCCTGGGCACCAGGGAGAAGGTGGCATCAGGGAATTGTCAGGATCCAGCGTGCCCGGTGGCATCTTCCTCCCTCTCCCTCGGGCCTCCTGTCTTTCATGTTCCTTTCCTTCCCTCTCCCTCTCTCTCCTCCCTGCATACCTGCAGAGCAGAGGCTCTCTGCCTCTTGGGTGTCTTATCCCCTCTACTCCCATCCGCCGTGCTCGAGTCCCCAGGGGCTGTGGGGCCCACATTCCTCTCTGGCTCTCTCGGGCCCATTAGTATGTTTACGCTGGAGCAGGTCCCAGGGGAGTTGAGCCTGGACGCTCCCACCCTGCCCCCATCACAGAGGAGAGTGGACATTTGTGAGGCTGTAGCTGGTCACAGCCGCAGGAGAACCGACCCAGGGTCCGAATTCCTGCCACCCCTGTCCGAACAAGCCCAGGGCGGCACCGGTAGCCCCTGGGGTCCCCGCACCCCTTCCCGCACAGCCCCTCCCCTGGCTGACAGGCCCTAATCTCAGCTGTCTTCGCGCAGCCAGCCCTCCAAGCCCAGGGTCACCTGACGCCGACACATTTTAATTCAGAAGCTGATTTCTGCTTGTTGGCAACATGTCATTTCTGAAATTGCTTTCTCTGCCCAGAGGCAGGAGATGTCAGAGCCGTGCAGGTGTTACGGCGGTGCCGCCCCCACCCTGCACCCAACCCCCCAAGTTCAGGAAGGATTAAGGGGCGTGGGGGGCACACATTAGATCCTCAAGCTCTGCTTCTCATATTTCCCCAAGGGCTGGTGGAGGGGTGGGGGGCCTGGGATGGGGATGATGGGAACAGCTTCTGCTTTCCTCTCTGTCCAAAGACAGAGGCCCAGATGTGAGAGAATGAAGCTGATGTGGCTGCAGATACTCACTATACATCAGCAGCAGGTAATTTTGAGTGTGTTCTATAGAGAGGCCAGGCACCCTTCAAAGAGACTCTCATGCACCGTCATATTTAAGTCTCATGACAACCCTCCAAGTAGGTGTCATCCCTACATTACAGCTGAGAAAACGGAGGCTCAGAGAGGTTAGATCCCTTAGAGGTTAGGTCACACGGCAAGTATATAGCAGTGCTTAGGCTCAGACCCAGAGGGCAACAACCTGCCTGGGATTTAGAGGTCTGGGAAGAAATGGGCTTCAGAGCTGGGGAGGACTTGGGAGCTGGTTTTTTCCTTTGCTTTCTTCATGGCCTGACCTAAATATCTTCAGTGAAATTTGCCTGCTTCCTAACTTCCCCACTCCTGCCACCCACCCAACAGTAATTTGCTCCTTTTTTTTACATTTCCTTAGCATTTTGCCTACACTTGTATCTTGAATAGCAATTATCACAGCATGGGCGTCCTTCATTTTATTGGATGAGTGAATGAAAAGATGAACAAATGAAGGTTTGAATCTTGCACTCTGTGCTGCTTCCCCATTGCACTTTCCCTCTGCAGTAGCAGGCTTCCTGGCACCGTGTGCCTCCTTGATACATTGGCTCTTCATTAGCCAAGCTCCCTGCCTTTTCCTCTCCTCCTTTTCCTTCCCCTCGTTCCCTCTTGCCTCCCCTCCCCAACCCTTGGGCTTCCTGGCTGCCTCAACCACCAGGAACAAGGCCATTCAGAAGCCTGAACAAGACGAGGGCTGCTCGCTGAGTCCCCAGGCAGGGCATGAGCTGATCCAGATGGAAAGCCACCTGCCGGTCCCGGGGTAAGCATGGTGCTGGGGCCAACCCACCTTCCCCCAGGTGGTCCTCAGGCTCCGCTCTACCTGCTTCCCCAGGATCAATTTCTCCTTCCGGCTCTTTGGAGGACTGGTGGCTGTGTGTGCTTGACCCTTGACCTGGGCCAGAGCTAAGGACATGGGCAGATCGGCTGGTCCTGACCTGTGTCATGCATTTGTTGTCTTGGTATCAAATATTAGTTTTAATCAAAAGGCTTTCACAGGACTTCCCCGGTGGTACAGTGGACACGAGTCCACCTGCTAATGCAGGGAAGGTGGGTTCGATCCCTCATCCGGGGAGGATTCCATATGGCTTGGGGCAGCTAAGCCTGTGCACCACAACTGCTGAGCCCTCAGTCTAGAGCCCATGAGCTGCAACTACTGAACCTGCGCGCCCTAGAGCCTGTGCTCTGCAACAAGAGAAGCCGCAGTGCTGAGAAGCCCCCGCAATGCAACGAAGAGCAGCCCCTGCTCGCCACAACTAGAGAAAGGACTCACATAACAACGAAGACCCAGCGCAGCCTCCCCAAATAAATAACCAAATAAATACTTCAAAAAGGCTTTAACAGCTACCATTTCATTTAATGCTGGCACAAAGCAGCATCAGCCATAAGGGGTAAAAATAGAGACGATATCAAAAATCCACAGAATGTCAGACCTAATGGGCCCTTTCCCATTTTACAGATGAGGAGGCTGAGGCCCACAGTGAGCAGCAGCAGCTGCAGCAATAACATCCTGGGGTTGACACTGGGGCCAGCATTGGGCAGGATCAGGGGGAATTCTGAAGTGTGATGACCTGCTGTTTCCTGAAACATGGTTCTTTGTTTTGTGAAATTTTTTGAGGGGTTCTAGTTCTGTTCCAATTTAAAAATTAAACTTAAAAATATGAAATCTTTTCACAGAGGATGGTCAAATATCCAAGAAGGGATAGGTCATCTTTATAAATCAGATAAGCAGGGGATTTCCTCAAGGTGCACAAGTTAGAGCTCCACATTCTCACTGCTGAGGGCCTGGGTTCAATCCCCGGTCAGAGAACTAAAATCCATAAGCCCTGTGGCATGGCCAGGGGAAAAAAAAAAAGTCAGATAAACAGAGTCTGGGTAAGCACTGCCTAGGAGTTAGAGCCAAACAGCCAAGTTAACTTTCTTCTCAAAGTCTCATTCATGAAGACAAAACAGAAACAAAAATCTCTCTATTGGTGTCTCTTGAAGAGAGACAGAGAGATTACACACACAGAACTTCTACTATATGCCAGGCACTGTGCCAGGCCCTGGGGATGAAGCAGTTAACAAGGCAAGCCCAGTTCCTAAAGCACGGAAGAGAGATAAACAAGTCATCACTATTCGGTGTGATGAAGCTGACAGCCCTGGGCCCCAGGCGGCTGAACCCAGTGGTGGGGAAACAGGGGTAGGAGAGCAGGAGGACTTTTCCTCTTCATCCCTTGTTGTGGCTTTTGGATTCTGAGTCATGTGAATGCATTGCTTACCCCCTAAATGAGTAAAATTTAAAATGGTATAAAAATTAAGTGTGATGAAGGTTAACAAGGGGTAAGTACAGGCTGCTGATGGGAACCGTGTCGGTGATGTGAGCAGACCTGCTGAGGGGAATTGAGATGAGACTCTGGAGATGAGTGATGGCCCAGCTTCATCCTGAAGCTTCGTGGGGTCTTGGCCAAATGAGGGTTTGGGGGATGGGGGATGCAGGTGTCAGCAGAAACGTTACGGCATAGGGTGATAAAACCAACCTTGCAGGGTCATCGGGAGCGTTACAGGGTGTCTCTAGAAAGTGCTTGGCACACAGGTTGTGTTTAATGTGTTGTAGCCACTGCTTTTATTTGATTTTATTTATTTATTTATAGCTGTGCTGGGTCTTTGTTACTACACGGGCTTTTCTCTAGTTGTGGCAAGTGGAGGCAACACTCCAGTTGCTGCAGGAGGGCTTCTCATTGCAGCTTGTTGCAGAGCACAGGCGCTTGGGCTTCAGTAGTTGTGGCTCTCAGGCTCTAGAGCAGTCACCCTGAAGCATTTGGGATTTTCTCAGACCAGGGATCGAACTGGTGTGCCTTGCGTTGGCAGGCAGATTCCTAATCACTGAACCACTAGGGAAACACACCACTGCTATTATTATTCCCCAGTTATGATTGCTGCCACTGGCAGGGGCTAGGGAGAAGGGGCCCTCATGCTGCCATTGACTCTGATACACTCCCAGGTGTCTGAGGGTCTCCTGGCAACAGGAATTGGGCACTGCTTGAGCCTGGTTTGGTTTACGAGGATCAGCCCCAGGGGCAGGAAAGCACAGAGAAGGCCTGAGTTCAGAGTGCCGTGTTTGTGGGGAGGCCATGGCTCTTCTAGAATCTGCTCCTCCTCAGACACAGCACCAAAACCAATCCGAGCTGTCTGATCAGGGGACGGTTGCCCAGGTTGTTTCACCTCATGTCACAGACCAGGAGACTTCCCCAAGCTGGGAAGAGAAAGGACTCTGACCCCTCCTAGCCACAGGCCCAAGGCAGTACAAAGCATAGCAATTCAAACCAGTGTTGTGAGCATGAACGACGCATGAATGAACTCCTCATCCTCACAAACACCCTCCCAGGAGCGAGGTACTACAATCACTGTCCCCATTTTACAGATGAGGACACTGAGGTGTACAAGGGTTAAGGAACCTTCATGAGGTCACATGATCAGACTTTGACACCCACCCCCCCAGGCGTCCTCTTAGCCACTTGCTGTCCCCAAAGCAGAGCCCCCACTACCTCAAATGTTCTCTGCTTGCCTGCTTAGGTCTCCCCTGCAACAGGAAGGAAACCATTTCCTCCATCTCAGGAGAGCTCAGTAAGCATAACTGAAACCTTCTCTGTGTCCCAGGTGTAGAACCCATGATGACATCAATAAAATTGTGAACATGTGATTTCCAGGGAGGTTGGATGGTCAGGAGGTGACCCCATCAAGATGCAGGATGGGGTAGGGGTGCACTGCTCACTCAGGGGTGCTCCCTTCAGAATCAGGCCCTGAAGGGTGAGACCGCATTAGCCCAACAGGAAGTGCTTCCCTTAGGAGGGGAGTCAGCATGTCTCCACTGGCTGGGGGCCAGAGAGGAAGCGCCTTGACCCTAGGGAAGCCATGCTGGTTACCATGTCCCCTCTCTCCTCAGTAAAAGGTGGGGATTAGATCTTTTATTTATTTATTTGGTTGCACCACCAGGGCATGCGGGATCTTAGTTCCCTGACCAGGGATCGAACCCGTTCCTCTGTAGTGGACGCACAGAGTCTTAACCACTGGACTCCCAGGATGTCCCAAGTGGGAGTCACATCCCAACCTACCATTTTATCATGGCTTCAGCAGATGTCACTGGCCATGGCCTCCAGCTCCTGGTCGACTGCATGAACCTCTGACCTTCAACCCCTAAGGGCTCACGAAGACCTCTGACCTCTGTGTTCCTGCTCCCCCTGCTCCCTGTATTCCCTCGGCCCCCATTATTCATGCCTGGGTGGTGGTTACGAGCACATATCCTTTCTTCCGTTCCAGACCCTTCACAGGGGGCCCCCACATAGCCTAGTACATGGTAGCTGCATCTCACTGACTCCTGAGGTAGGTCTTTGACTTCTGACCTTTAGACAGAAGAAGATGGCCTCTGTGAGCAGCCAGACCCCAGCCTTGTAGTTAGGATGGGTGTTCTTTATTGATGGACCTTATTGTGGCATAATTTCTCCATCATCTGTACAACGGGGTAGTAATAGTAACTCCTTACCTACATCATGAGGATGACATTCATTAATACGAGAGCTTAGAACAGAGTCTGGGTTGCTGCAGCTCCAAAGAAGCATTAGCTGCTACTACTATTATTATTATCATTGCTGTTGTTGTAAGACTCTGTCCTCCAGATTCCTGGGCAGCCCCTCTCACACCACGTCAGTCAGCCCTGCCAGAGTCTCCCTCCCTGAGGCCCTGCCTATGTCTGCTCTCTGTCTTCGTCTTCCATTCCTCCTCCTCCTCTCTCCCCTTCCCTCCTTGCTCTCCTGGCTCCTGCAGCCCTGGGCTGGCTAATCACACTACTGTCAATTCAGATTAGAGCCCATTATGTTCCTTCATCTCAGCTTAACATTTTTGTGGTTTCCCAGCTCTGCCCAAAATGCTCCACGAGGGGCAAGGGCTGCCCAGATGGAGGAAGCTTTGGGAGGAAGAATGCAAGTCTGTGAGTTCCCCAGGCGGGCTTTCCAGGATTCCTGCCCGTTGGAGGTTGCGGCTGGAGTTGGGAGGGGGCGGGGCACAAGGGGGAGTGGTCCCTGTTGGGCTGTGCTCCAGACTCCAGGGAACTGGAGGTCTTAGGATCTCAGCCTCCTTGACCTGGTGTAGACTCCCAACCCAGTGTCCCATGACAGATGGAACCACACTGAGGACTGTGTCTTGGTCTCTCAGTCTGAGAAGAGTCTCAGAGTCGTGGAATTCTGTGCCTGGAGGGCTCCTGGCAGAGCCACCAGTCCTAGGACTTGTGTTGGGGTCCATCTCCTTCAGCCACAGGTGTGGCTTCTCTGCTCAGTTCAGTTCAGTCACTCAGTCGTGTCGACTCTTTGTGACCCCAGGCCTCCCTGTCCTTCACCATCTCCTGGAGCTTGCCCAAACTCATGTCCATTGAGTCAGTGATGTCATCCAACTATCTCATCCTCTGTCATCCCCTTCTCCTCCTGCCTTCTTTCTTTCCCAGCATCAGAGTCTTTTCCAAGGAGTCAGTTCTTAGCAGGTGGCCAAAGTATTGGAGCTTCAGCTTCAGCATCAGTCCTTCCAATGAGTATTCAGGACTGATTTCCTTTAGGATTGACTTGGATCTCCTTGCAGTCCAAGGAACTCTCAAGAGTCTTCTCCAACACTACAGTTCAAAAGCAATGATTCTTCGGTGCTCAG